GCTTGGCCTGCTGTGTTCATCCAGCTCCACACCTTGTTATCTCACATCCAGAGCCTTGCTGGCTAGATCTCAGACACACTACACTGATTGATGGCAGCGAGGATACTTGTCTTTATTAAATATAGTAGGAACTGCAGATGCTGGAGAATCTGAGATAACAAGGTGTGGAGCTGGATGAACACAGCAGGCCAAGCAGCAACAGAGGAGAAGGGAGGCTGACGTTTCGGGTCTAGGCCCTTCTTCCTGCTCGGCCTGCTGTGTTCATCCAGCTCTACACCTTGTTATCTCACTTGCCTTTATTAGCCCAGGTATGGAATATAGGAGAAGGGAGGCTATGCTTGGATTGAAATAAAAACGATCCTGAGAGGAAATGAAAGCAAAATAATCAGGATGTTGGAAATTTGAAACAAAAATGAGAAAATGCTGAAGAAGGATCATTATTACACTTAAAACGATGATTCTATATCTCTGATGCTACCTGGTCTGCTGTGCTCCTTCAGCTCCACACTGTGTTATCTCGGATTCCAGCAGCGGCAGTTCTTACTATCTCAGAGTCTATATCTCTAACTGTTATCTGGACCCGCTGAATTTCTCTAGCATTTTCTCTGAAATCTGAAATAAAAAGAGAAAATGTTGAGAAGCTCAGCTGGTCTGACAGCATCTGTGCAGAACTTTAAAGTTTCACAAACTTTCACACCAGGCTGTACAAGGGCGTATTAAGATAGCTGACCAAATGCATGGTCAAAAGTGGTAAGTTTAGGAGAAGTGAGTTACAGGTGGAGAGAGTTTGTGAGGGAATTCAAGGGCTCATGGTCTAGATACCTAAACACATGACTGCCAATGGTGGATTTGTAAAAAAGTTGGAAGTGGATGAGCACACATATATTGAATGTAGTCACTATTGTAATATAGGAAATGCTACAGCCAATTTACTCACAAGCTCTCACATTACAGCATCGTGAAAATGACGAGAGTAATATATCCTCGGTGTTTCTGTCGTCTGAGGAATAAATATTGGCCAGAAACATGGCCAACTCTCCTGCTCGTAAATTATCGTTTTAGATGTAACCCTTCATCAGAATCGAGAAATGATCATCATTTAAATCAAATCAAATCATATCATAACAAAGGGAAGGGAAAAATGGATATTCTATTATTCATGTTTATGCGTGTTTCCTTCTTGTTTTGCTCCTATTCCAATGCTGCTTATTTTTATCAATTCAGATTTAGGGTATTTACCTGCAAAGTTTATATCTCTAGATCATAACCTCCATTCAGCACTAAAAATCTTAACTTTCTCCAGTCCATTTTTCATAACCTGGTCATATGAATCAGTCTCATGGGCAGTCTGTACATTCCTTTCGCACTTTAAATGTCCTCCTTGTATCTCAATGATGAGAACTGAATATATGATTCAAGATTTGATAAAAGAGATCTGTGTTGATTGAAAGTAGGACCAGTATTTACTTTCTCCTTATAATCGACTGTGCTCGACATATCATTCTGTTTGCTTGGTTGTTAGATGTTTCAGCGATGGGACCTGTTGAGTACTACTTCTACTAATATCATTATAATTTCAACATCACACTGGAGTGAATAAACAGCAATCAAGATGGTTCCATGGGTCTGGGCAGTCTTCTGGTAGTTTCTCCAAATAGTCTTGGTATGAATAAATGAAAAAAAAACTTACCTTGATATTGCAAATGACTTTCATGACCTCAAGATGTCCCAAAGTGCTTCACAACCAATATTATTGAACTGTAGCCATTTTTACAATTTAAGAAACATGACAGCCAATCTGCATCCAGCAAACTCCCTCAGAGGCAATGAGAACGATGCAAATTATTTTGTTTTTAGCAATGTTGATCCAAGGTTAGGACACTAGGATTAACACCTTTACTGTTCTTTGAAGAGTGACATGATGATCTTTGCAGCCTCAAACAGCACAGATGAGGACTTAGTTTAACATCTCATCCAAAGGACAGAATCTCTGACAGTGCAGCAGTCCCATAGTACTGAACTGAAGTGTCAGCTTAGATTTTGGAATTTTTATGTGGAACCTGAGCCCACACTCTTCATAGAGTGGCAAAAGTGCTACTCACTGAGGCGTGGCTGACACTGTTTAATTTGCATAGACACCAAAGGCAAGCATCATCTGGTTTCCAATTCACGTACACTTTTCACCATGATTCACGCATCAGAGCCTTGGTTGACTGCAACCTTTGCACTACCAGACTGACTCCTGGGATGGTAGGTTTGTCATATGAGAAATTGGGTCAACTGGGCCTGGACTGACTGGAGTTTGGAAGAATCAGTTGAAATCTCAGAAACAAATTTCTGACAGGCTGGATAGACTGGTTGCAGGGATGATCTTTCCACTGGTCAGAGGGTCCAGAACAAGGGATCACAATTTCAGGACATAGAATAGGCCATCTCAGACTATTATGAGGAGCAATTTCTTTATTTACAGAATGATGAACCTTTTGGAATTCTCCACCACAGAAGGCTGTAGAGGCAATGTCACTGAATGTATTTAAGAAAGAAATATAAAAGATATGGGGAGAAGCCAGGACTATGGCATTGAGATACAGAATCATCCATGATTGTGTTGAATGGCAGAGCAGACTCAACGGGCTGAAAGACCTATTCATACTTCTATTTTCAATGTATCTATCCTGCCTAAAGTCAGGGTGGTCAGGATAAGACAAAGACTGTTTGTGGGTCTGTAATGCAGTTATAATCTATGCTTACCCTGTTATGAAAACTCCATAATGTACAATTCATTATTATTGCCTTTTGTGACCCAACAATATTCCAGTTACATTTAACAAAATAGAACACAGTTAAAATTCTTATTCTTTTTATTAAATACTACTTACATCAGCCAGATACAGATCTGTAGCCAGGGAACCCCTCTAACCTCTAAGACCCTGCCAAGATTTATTTGAAGAAATTCCATTTCACAAACTCCTGTGAGTAAGGAACATTTAAGACAAAAAAAAAGGGTTCTCAAATACATCCTGTCAGACTCTGATGCACTCGCTATCCCTCAAAACAATAAATTCATTTCCACTTGCTACGGAGAAGTGAAAAGGGCACAGCTTCAGCAAACAAACATGCCAAAATAATTTATAAAAAGAGAAGTAAAAGAGAAACATAAATTGGGGATGACATCTTAAGTCTAGTAAACATATCAGATTTTCAACTTCTGTGTAACCTGTCAAATGACTGCCATGCAGATAAAATAGAAATTAATCAGTCTTCCATCCAGCACTGTGTATATTGTACTTGGTAGTCAGTCATTTCCTGTTGACTTTTCATACCTCGATAACTGTGTCTTTCTCTCTGTCGCAGCCAGAACTTACAAACAGCCACGAATCTAATGACATCTTCCTCAGTAATTTTACACCAAATAACATCAGGATGACTTCAGGTGGGCTTTTATAAAGGAGGGCAAGATTTACATTGCACTTTGCAGCTCTTTGGGGACATTCCAAAGCAATTTTGAAATGTAGTCACTATTGTAACATAGGAAATGTGACAGCTAGTTTATTCACAACCTCTCATATATACAGCATTGTGAAGATGACCAGAGTAATATATCCTCAGTGTTTCTGTTGTCTGAGGAATAAATGCTGGCCAGGAACACAAACAACTCTCCTGTTTGTAAATGATTATTTTAGATGTAACCCTTCATCAGAATTGAGAAATGATCGTTTAAATCAAATTATAACAAGAAGGGAAGGGAAAAATGGATATTCTATTATCACATTTAAGCACGTTTCCTTCTTGTTTTGCTCCTATTCCAATGCTGCTCATTTTTATCAATTCAGACTTAGGCTTTTTACCTGAATCATTAATAATATCTGATATCTCCATGGAATTTGCTGTGCCTGACCAACGGGTCTTGTATTTCTTTGAGATATGTCACAGACACCGCACTGCTTAATTGATAAAGTTTTCTGTTTTTTTTTAAAAGAGCTTTTGTTTTATTATTTCTACAGGTCGTTATTTAAATTACCTTTTCAGTTTCATTTATACTTTGCAGCATTGGTGCTAAGTAGTTTTACCCTGTCATCAACGTGAAATCCTATAATGCATAAATCCACTAAGACACTGCAACTGGAGTTTGAAGTAAAGCAGAAGAAGATTCCATTCACCAATTTCTGCTCTGGTATCCGGCCAATCCCCAGTTCTGGATTCAAGCAATATTTAAACTCTAAATGTAACATTGTATTAAATGTTTCGGTTACAGTGGAAGCATATCATTGATTAACTGAGGATGAGCGATAGGTGGTTGCAGTTCTTAAAGCATAGTTTCTTTTGTCCACACATCTCACAGCACTCTGTTAAAAATCAGGTCGTATCACCCATCTGGAACTGTTAGCAGCAGTAAAATGCAACTGGAATTTCATGATTTTCTCAGTGGTTGCTGCAGCAATTTATTGCTTGACCTTTCTGGATATTTTCCTCCATTCTTTTATACCATGCCTTGACCTTGGTGTTTGCCATCATGTCATCAAATGCCTTCAAACCTTCCATTACTCGAAGTACACCATAGACTGCCTGTGAAAATGAAAAAGCAAAAGAGAGAGAGGATATTACAAACTACAGACTTACAGAATTGAGACATTATGTGATGAGGAAAGCTTAACAGACTGGGACAATTTTCTGTCTAAAACTAGGGGTGATCCTGTTACAAGTCTTTAAGATTATGAATGAGTTTGACAGGGTAGATGTTTCCATTGCAGGTGTAGGGTTCTTAAGGATAGTTATTGATAAATCCGAAAGGTAATTCAAGAGAAACTTCTTTATCCATTGAGTGATTGAAATTTGGAACCCTCTATCACAAAGCTGATACAATGATACATTTCAGGGAAAGCCAGAAAAGCACGAAGGTGGGGAAAGAATGGAAAGGAATGTTGTTAGCATGAAGTGAAGAGGAGTTGGAAGAATCTCAGGTGGAGTATAGATACTGGTATGGACCAGTTGTGCCAAACAGCCTGTTTCTCTGCCACAAGTAGAAACAGCTTTGCTACATCTATCCTTTTGTCATTTTAAAAACCTCCATTTGATTATCTGTCAGCCATTGTCCTTCTAGACCAAAAAACCACAACCTGTTCAATGTTTCCTGTTCATAGTAACCCCTCAGTTTTGGTTACAATATAAATCTCAAAGGCACCTACAATCGTTGCAAACTCTTACCAGGTCAGCAAGGTTGGGCAACTCTCCACCCATGAATGGCCTGTGTTTGCCAATGGCAGCCACCCACTGATCAACTGCTTTGTACAGATCCTGCCGGACGTCATCGTGAAGGTGGTGTCTGAAAAGAAACAAGGACAACCATTCAGCATGTTCCCTTAAGCTACAGCACTGGAGGTCCAAAAGAAATGAAGGGTTCAGACAACCACTGAAGATGGCATGCCTGCTTCCAGCAGCAAGAAGGAAAGACCGGGGCACATGGCATTTCCCATTCACTAACTCTTCCCTTTTATTTAAAGCTCAGATAATCTGGTTTGCTGTGAAATTTCTCTCAAGCCCAAATGAGGTAACTTGGAGGCCAGTGGCTGAGTCAATGGGATGGGTTTTCTGACAGCAAATGGTTCTAGAGTGAGGGTGAAGGCAGCAAGGGAAATGTGCAAGGGAGACCTAAACTTTACTTTGGGGCTGGAAAAGGGAGAAAGGTTGGTCAATGCTCAATAAGCAATCGAAGTTGATCACACAACTGGGACCAAGTCTGCCTATACAAAAGAGGGGACTAGCTGCTTCAGGTACATACGCCAAGCACCTCCAGTTTCAGGTTAGTCAGTGATTTCAAAGCGAAAAATCAGCTCACTGAACTTTAACTGCTTGCCATCAGTTTCCCCTGGAAAGGTGGAGTTAAAGTCCTTCAAAGACATTGCAACTACCAGAACAACACACCAAATGCAAATGAACTTCTGTTCTTTTTAAACTATTTATGAACTTACAAAGTTAGAAACAGGATTTGCAATTCAACCCCTCGAGTCTGCTCCACCATTCAGTAGATCATGGCCGATCGGATTGTAGCTTCAGCTCTATTCTCCTTCTACTTCCTTCCTGGTTAAATCGCTTGCATAAATTAATCAAGTGAAAGAAGGGACCCACCTCAAAATCTTAGCTGCCTGCCCTCACAACTCAAGAGTTCAGAGGTACCAAAATGGTCAGGGGAGTCATGGAATCTTACAGTGCAACTGCAGGCCATTTAGTCCATCACGCCGGTCTTGGTTGTTTGAAAGAGATAGCCAATTAGTCCCGTTCTCCCTTCTCTTTCCCCACAGCCCTGTACTTTTCTCCAGTTCAAGTATTTATCCAATTCCCTTTTTAAAAGTCACTATTGAATCTACTCCCACCTCCCCCACCCTTGGAAGGCAGTGCATTCCAGATCATAACAACGTGTTGTGTAAGGAATATTGTCACCTCCCCACTGCCAATTATCTTAAAATCTCTGCTCTGATTATTGTCCAAATGTTACAAGAAACCATAGGACTTTACCAAAAGCTTCCACGAACGTAAATGTCTACGTTAACGCTCCTGATAGTCTTGTCTGTTCTAAGGAGAACAATCTCAACTTCTCCATTGTCTCCTTGTAACTGAAATCCCTCATGCCTACTGCCATTCTAGTAAATCTGTTCTGCCCCATATCCATGTCTTTGATAATGCTTCTGACCAGTCCTGGTGGGCAGTGTCCTATGTCCCCCCAGGCCCAGGTACCTAGACTTACTGAGAAATCATAAAGAATTAAATACACGCACCTAGATTTAAGCCTCTTGCTGACAAAGAACATGGCGGCTGCTCCAAAATACTTCGCAAAAAATCCTTCAAAAGGTCCGAATTTCCCCTCCCGCACAATGTAGTCAAAAGATTCCAGGGCTTCTCCAGGAGTGCGGTAGACATTGGGTGAAATGAGATGAACCAGCCAGTCATCTACCCACTTACGCCATTTCATTTCCTCCCTGGATGTTAAAGAAAAAAATTCCGTGCAAATCAGATTGATAAACAATATCTTACACTTGTAATCAAAGTCAGCTAATTGAGTACGAAATGGGCCATGATGTAGACAGCCAATACAACAACTATATCTAGACAATGAACCAACAGTGTATTTCCTCTCTTGTGGTAACAATAACTTAAAATGACAAGAACTTGCATTTAAACAGCACCTCCATCTGTAGTAAAAATGTCATTAAGTGCTTCACAGGAGTTTTTTTTTGCACACAGCCACAAGGAAAAATATCAGAATAGATGAATAATTGCTTGGTCAAACAGAGAACATCATTAAGATGGGGATGGGTAGGGAGGGAATTCCAGGGCCCAAGATCTCAGCAGCTGAGGACACTGTGATCAATGGTGGAGCAATTAAAATCAAGAATGTGCTAGAGGCCAGAACGGAGGAGTACAGATATCTTGCAGGGCTGTAGAGCTGGGGGGGCTTACAAGGATTTGGACAAGGATAGAGTGACATTAAAAAAGTATGGTAAGAACTTTTAAAATCGAGGTTTCGTTTAACCAGGTGCCATTGTAGGTCAGTTAGCGTAGGGGTCCGCTAGGGCAAAATGATCTGATGAGAGTTAGGAAATGGATAGCAAATGTTTTGAATAAGAACAAATATTCAGAGGGAGGTTTGGCTACAACAGCATCTGAATTATTGAGACTAGAGATAACAAAGGCATATTGGCAGATCTATATCACTGACCAGGATTGGACAAGAGGGAAGACATTGCATATTTCAAAAGTCTGGCCTAATTGGAACAGGCTGTATGATCTGATTTCATTTGTGAAAACAAAAATTGATATTAAGTACACGAGATAAGAAGGTGTAGAGCTGGCTGAACGCAGCACCGCCAAGCAGCATCAGAGGAGCAG